TATTTCTTTTAATCCCTGATATCGGATACCGGTTCTTTCCCGTGACGAGGACGAGTCCTATTCGTACAGTGACTTCATGCCTGACCCTTGTACGGCTTGTTGTGCGGGGATTCTGTCTCCCTGCTGGACCCCTCGAATGAAAGTGCGGGAGACCCTTCCATTCCCCACAACCGCGGAAACATTCCCTTGAGTTTCCTATCCGTGCTCCTTTCTGGGACGTACGAGAATTTACCATCTCTGGGTGTGCAAGAAACATGTGGTTTGCTCATCCTCTTGCAGTGCTTGGTGATCAAATCTTCTCTGGAGAGACGGCAGAAGGGGCCACTTTTCTCCCTCTACTTGTACCTTATCGGTGTACCTTCTGCTGCCAATTTTTTCTTCAGGACTTCTCGAAATCCGCTCTTTTTTCCAATGCTAGTTCTTGGAGTCTGTTCTTATACGGCAATTTAGCCCTGACCAACTCATTGGTTTTTCCATTCACTCATATCCTCCGACATTTCCCCCCTTCGCTCACTCCCCTCCCTTCGACGAACACGATACGATATACCATACCTATTTGGCCAGCATAGCTCAGAAACGCCATCATTACCGCTTTCCCCTTGGTCGGCATTGGAATTTTCTTGGGTGAAGAACCGCAGAAGAGAATTCCACTAAAATGTCTCCGTACCGTCTACTTGCACCTCATATATCGTTCACTTCTAGTACCCTGGATCTGCTCAATCGGAATGGAAACGGCCGAAATGTGAATCCTGATGGTGGTGCGCAATCTCGTTCGGACTCTAGCTGGATTAATCTTCCAGTTAGAAGTTTGACTCAACGATCACCGCCTGTTGCTTCACCGCGACCAACTTTCTATCGGCAGAGCTCTGCGCAGTCGTCGGATATGTTGCTGCCGCCGTCGAGACAGGGGAGGCCTGATTGTAGTGTGGACCATGGGGGTTCGGCTTATGGGCCCTTTGTTTCGCCGTTCGATGAACCTCGGGCCCGGCCTGGAGCTAGTTCTCATGATCCCATGGATACCTTCAATTCGCGGACAATCAGTGAGAAATACAGCTTTATGCCTTCAGATGGACTGTTATTGTTCCCCACTGACAGAGAGGATGATGACGCGCTTCACGATCCCTTAGAGGAGGATTCGAATGAGTGTGATATATGGGCGAGGAGAGGATTGGTTAACGTTGGGGCTCTGGCGTTTATTGTTTTGGGATCGTTGTGTTTGTTTATTGGGTACCCGGTTTTGTATGCTGTCAACCCTTAGCGCTCTCTTCGAACTCGTACTAATTGCTTGCTTTTGCAGGACGTTTGTGCAAGATGCTATTATAGAGCCCGAGAGTCCTTGTAATTCTGGAGGGTTATGTGTCGGTAACGGCCCGATAGACTTGTTAAAGAATGTCCGCCATTCGTTAATTGATCCGGATACCCCCGAGAGTGCGAGAACAAAGAAGTCTACCTCCGGGAAAGAGTATAAGCTTGTGGTCAGTGAATTCGCCTCGAAGGGACACAAGAAGTGGGATTATGAGGCTGAGATGGCGTAGTTTTCGGATGAATTTAATAAACCTGGAAGGACATTCTATCCCCAGGATGACCCATATTGGTGTGCCGTCTGATGTATCGTGATCAATATTTCTTGCTGACTGGTTACACAGGGAAGCTGTTGATCTTCATTAGTGAGTGTAGCTGGATGGTTAGCGTTCGTGGTTTCTTTATTAACCTTGATCCCGTAGCACTTCAACTGGTGATTTGGAATGGTACGATCCAGATGCTATCACCACTAGAGATGGATATCTCGAGATCGAATTCGCCGCCTTTAGGAATCACGATTTGGATTTTCGCTCGGGGATGCTGCAGAGTTGGAATAAGATGTGTTTCAAGGGTGGGGTCATTGAAGGTATTTTTCCCGATTCCCTTTCCATTGAGTTCTCTCTAATACGGAGCGCAGCAAGTATTTCCCTTCCTGGACGTGGTGACGTTTCTGGCTTCTGGCCGGGCTTCTGGACTATGGGTAACCTGGGTCGCCCGGGATATCTTGCTTCTACTGAAGGAATGTGGCCCTACACTTATCATGATGGCTGCGATGCCGGTATCACGGCAAATCAGTCAAGCCCTGATGGTATCAGTTTCCTCTCGGGGATGAAACTTCCCGCGTGTACTTGTGCCGACGAGGATCACCCGAGCCCTGGAAAATCTAGATCTGCCCCTGAAATAGATGCTATTGAAGCAAGTGCTGGAGCTATAGACAAGGAGGGAAAGATCATTGTTGGGTCGGCTTCTCAGTCGGCTCAAGTCGCACCTTTCGATCTGTGGTATCAGCCGGATTACGACCATGTTGCCGTCTATCACCCCGAGTTTACTTCCATGAATACATATCGTGGTGGGTTCCTCCAGGAAGCCATATCTGGTATTACTATTTTGAATAATGACTGGTACGATGGGAAGCAGTATCAAACGTATGGGTTTGAGTATGAGCCGGGCAGTGAGGGGATGATTGAATGGAATATCGGGGATTTGAAGACATGGAGGATGAATGCCGCTGCTACTGGGCCCAACGGCAATATCGGGCAGCGACCAATCTCAAATGAGCCCATGGCCGTTATTTTCAACGTGGGGATGGGATCTTGGTCCGCGCACAATGATATTCCCGAGATCAACAAGTTACTCCCGGCGAAAATGAGGGTTGATTGGTACGTGATTTCTTAGTGTTGTGGGTTTTTAGCTTACTCATTTTTCCCACTAGGATCCGTATTTGGCAGGATGAGGATTGCGAAGACTGCTCCATTACTTGTGATCCGCCTGGATACCCTACAACGGGGTATATCGAGGATCACCTTGAAGCATTTACGGACCCGAATCTGACAAACTGGGCCTCGGCGAAGTATGAGTGGCCGAGAAACTCATTTACAAATCAATGCGCATGATTAACTTATCCCCTCTTCCCTCTTTCCTCGCCTTTTCTCCCATCTGTTGTGATTACTTTTTTCAGTCTTATTGCATCCTAGAAAAGCATTTCATCGCCTTATAATATTACACCCTTTCACCTTTTTTTTCTCTCTTCTCGTGGTGGGCTTTTATTTTCTTTCCTAGACGGTGCAGGACTTTTGCTTACTATAGTTCCTTGTTTATATGTATATATACACGATATTTGTTTATATCATAGCGAATGGGTTAGATGTCTGCATGTGTGGAATGGGTGAAAATGGCTTGGCGTTGGTAAGGCGGGGAAAAGCAAAGGAGGGAAAGGAAAGGAACGGAAAGGAAGGAGGGATGGGATATGGTATGCTAGGAAGGGTTAGCTGGTTTCCATTTCTTTCGGGGAGGCGGATTGTGCAATGGTTTTCCATGTATATACTTAGGGCCTGTTTGGTTTATGATGGTTCCGCACAGGACCGTTCCGTTGTAAAACGGTTCTACTTGTACTCGTAGAAACGGTTGCGAATTTGGCAGCGTTTCAGTTCCGGGAAACATGTGATGTTACTAAATTTACATGGCAACCGCACTGGTATGGCTGTTTTGCAACGGAACGGTTGATCCCTTTCACATTTGCCAAACAGCCGTTCCGTTTCTCCCCTTTCGGAACGGAAGGGAAACGGTCGTTTGTCTGATATGGGACAAGGGAGCGGAGCCATCGTAACCAAACAGGCGCTTGGACTACCAGCATGTTGGGGTTTTTGGGGTTTTGGAGGGTGACTATCATATGATGCTCTAATTCTATCGTCAAGCTATGTGCGATTACCCTTTCTTGATGGAAATATGATAGGCCCGGACTAGGATAGTATGATACGAGTACAATACAGATAAAGCCCGGAATGTGCCTGTACAAAGTGGAGGTCTGGGTCTAGTGGCACAACAGCCACCATATCATGGTAGATTTATGGTCTTGGGACTTTGTGCGAGATCTAATTTACTCAAGTTATGATGCTTGTTGTGGTCAAGATGGCGCACCGGCCCCCGCCGTGGGAATTGTGTTTGAGAAGAAGAAAAATAAAGAGGAGAAGCTATATTAGCTAGTTGGGTTAGTTCCCGGATTGTGCTAAGGGACCTGATACGACTACTTACCAGCACCGTGATATGGCAAACATCACCACAGTATGATATGATATGAGCAAGAGGCCGGGTAGGAGCCCCCGTGGCAAAAATTGTCCTCCCCGGACCCTCACAATCCATCGCGTCAAGCAACCCGACGAACCTCTGCGGGTTCCTAAGGACAAATAGTGCAAAAGAGTTCCTTACCCCCTAAATTCCTTCACCTCAGATATCACACCTCAGATCTCCAAACCCTTGACGCCGATCCCATTCAACACCGAAGCCATGCCAAAGTGGACTGGGGGAACAATGCCATACCCGTTGCATCCTGCTCCCAATATCATAAATCCTAACACTGTTCCCCTCTCGGGACCTCTCTGCGCGTACATGCAATTGTCTGGGGACACCCCTCGGCCTGCCCGGGAATCGTCTTCCTTCGCCTCCGGGAACCTCTCCCCGGGCCAACCATGCTCGATGCCGCGAAGATGGTCTTCGGTGGCCGAGCCTAGGGGGTTTTCGGAGAGGGAAGGGGAGTTGGGTCCCGTCTTTCAACCCAGTGGGGATACAAAAGGGAGTTTGGGCAAGGTCAAGATATTGTACTTGTAGCAGCGGGTAGGGAATATTTATCTCAGGGGATCCACTGTATAGGTGATGGTTCAACCTTTTATATCGGGTAATTCGAACCTGGCGTGTCTCCAATATTGGAGGGGGAATGGAGGTACTGTTCCTACTATCATAGCGTAAATTCTATCCGGACTCCGGGTGCTCGAATCCCCCACACAAATTTCCCCGCTGTAGTGAAGAATGTCTCCCACCTTGCGCCTGAAACATCCTCACTTGGCAAACGGGATACACCCTCTCTACTCAAAATGGATATCCCCTTTCCTGAGTGGGTCGCTTTCTCAGCGGTATTTCCTGCCGACCGAGTGAAAGTTATGATATTTTATTCCAGTCGTCGAGTAGATGACTGCATAATTCCAATCCCTAGTTTAACCATATTCTAGATGTGCACATACCCGATTGATATCTCATGACTGACCTCTCGTTCACGCCCTTCCGCTCGCTTTTTCGCGGTTAGTACTCGAGTACAGATCCTCCGCGTGGATTCTTACCACCGCGCTGGGAGCTGTTCCTTCCCATTTATCAGCCTTCACCTCAGTTGGGCACTTTTCCCCTGGTGCATCACATATTCCGTTTCTATTACGGTTCTCCACGGTAGACACCAGCGACCGACCACTCCCTGTGCACAGTATCATAAACGATGCATACTTCACCATAGCAGCCTAAAGACGGAAAAAGAAAGGCTGTATTCCCGAACGTGTATATGTGCGTTTTGTTTGTTTGTTTGTTTCGTTCCTTCTTCAATCACCGACGTCCCCACGTTCGCCTTTCCCATAACATCAAATATCACTCGCCATCCAGTGGCATTCACTCGATGGCCGGTATGGGCCAGAATCTTTTTTCCCAGCGGGATATCCCATCGGGAGGGGGGATGGGACTGAACATCTACATTGGGGAAACACTCAATAACGAGGCAGAGTGGGATTTTTAGGCTGTAAATCCCTATCTATCCCCATGAACCTGACCTGCAGATTATTGGACCGATGGATATTTTTTAAATTTTTTTTAGTAGCTTGCCTTCTGGATGATGCGTAGACCGTGTGTTCGAGCAAGGGTGGGAAAGGTTTTTACTATAGCGTCGCGGTGTGTTGGATAGTGAATGGGTTGCTGGGGAAGGGACCGAACCGGCGGGTGTGTACCCTACCGTGATGTGATGGTGAAGGAAGGAAGAAAGGAAGGAAGGAAGGAAGGAAGGGGTGAAACGTGATGAAGCTATGCTCAATTTGGGTAGAAATGAAGCAGTCTATTGGTCGATCGGGTAGTGGCTGGCGCTCAACCGCCCCTTTTGACAAAAGTGCCGCGCACGAAGCGGTCTACCAGAACCGGAAATTCCAGACATCAGAAGAGAAGTGCGACAGGGTTGGTAAACATATATCCCCTCCACACAAGTGTCTTTGACGCTTTTGCAGAGCAAAAGGGATAAGGAGGAGGGGGCTTTCCTTCCAGGAAATGCCTCACAAGGAATTATACATCAAGCTAAACTTATGGGCGCTGGTGGAGCCTTTGTTAAGTGAGACCCTCAATTGATATCCATCGTAATGTCCTTGGATGTAATATGTATCTACCGGCTGGGCAACCAATTCTGAATTTGAGGGCTCAGAGGGACCTTCGGGAGGTAAATCTGCCATCCGACTCCTCTTTGTGCACAAGTTGGGGCGGTAGTGGTGGAGAGGCGCTTAAGGGGAGGCTTCAAAAGATGCGTCCTGTTTGATGCCTCAATGCGATACTAGAAACTCCCCCGATTAGAACCTCTCCATAGCGAAAACACAAACACAAACTCTACAGCGTTCACCATGGCAGGATGTGACAGCATCATCACTTTTGGCTTTTCTAAACGGGGGCTTTGTCTGATCTCCCCTGTTTGAACACATGTTTTAATTCTCTAACCTTCTAGTATTTCTTGATCCAACCGTCTCCCCCATTGATTGCTGCATTGTTTTGAGACACTGGGAGCCGGTTTGATTGTATCATATCGCATGAGGTGCGCAATCTCCCGTACGTCTTACCGGTGCCTCCTACGACTATGCAAGAAGCTGTGTGTGCATGAGGATTGCATAGGCAAAAATGGCGATAGTCTTTTTATCCTGGGGGCTCTTTGCTTCACTTTTCTGCTCTTTACCGGTTTGTAAAATTTTCCTGATGTTTCGGATTCGCCTCACAGTTCCGGTTCTCATAGCGGGTGAAAGGCGATCTGTAGGATTTCCTTGAATTTCCATTACTTGGATCATGGAAGCACTAATGTTGGTTTTCCACAAGGTAGGGAGCATATGGCTGAACCCGGATAGCTACAAGTCACCAGGACCACGGATGCTAGTAGCTCTATTGGTCAAACCTATTTGATAAACTGCGGGTAGAGGATTTATCTAACACAAGCACCAAAAGTTCTTACCTTCTATACCCTTTGGCCAACCACCCCATACTTGAAATTTTTTATTGTTTATTCAATTTGTAGACAAATGGGTCGCTTTGGGATACTGTGTACAGTATGGAGGCTCTTATTGTCTATAAAGCAAGGTGGATTCCCCCTTATAAGTCCTATCTTCCCACCACTACATGAGCAAAAGGACAAATTCAACTACACATAACATACCATGACTACACCATAATCCAATGTCACAAATATGGCCATGCATATGCACAACTTGAAAGTAGTAGATGAGGTTGCCTTAGTTTCTAGCATGATTGGGGTGCTACAGAAAATTGGGGTTGAAATGCAGGCCGACCATTAGACATTTCGGGCTGAAACATGGGCCAACCATCAGGTGGTTTAGGACAAAGTTTGGGCTGACAACCAGGCTTTTTGGGCCAACAATGAGGCATTTCGGGATGAAGTTCAGGTTGACTATCAGGCATTTCGGGAGGAAATTTAAGCTGATAACCAGGCTATTCAGGCTGAGAACTAGGGGTTTCAGGCTGAAATTTGAATAGACAATTGGACGTTTTAGAATGAGATTTGGGCTGACAATCAGGAAATTTAGGATGAAATTTGAGCTGACAATCAGGCATTTTGAGCTGAGGTTTGAGGTGATCTCGGAGAGATGGGGGAGTGTGTTAGATGTGTTGAAGGCCAAGTTCAAACCTTCAACAACCATCATGAGTTGTAAGATGTTTCTTTTAAGATTAATTAAAGCTTGTTGGTTCTAACTACCTCACAGGTTGCCTCTGTATTTATATAATTCTTCCCTGCAAGGGGAGGCTCCGATCAGATACCCACCAGGTCTTGAAGGAATTCCACATCCATTGAATAAGTTTGAGCTTTACCATTACGCAAGTAATATACTCCATCTAGGAGATACTGGTCTCTGAATATCAGGAAGTATGCTAACATATGGTACATTCAGAGGACAACTGTACAGAATTGATTCAGAGACTCGAGCTACAACCAGTACTAAGTGGTTTCCAGTTAACCATCTTTGGAAAACAGATTGTAGATTACCTTGGAGTCATCATATGATGTGGGACATTTTTTTTGTATTGATGGTACTGTCAGGGGCTAGGTTAGCACTATAGATTGGTGGTTGATTTATGCAGACTACTAGACAATAGTTTTGATAAAAATAAAATCAGTTTCTACTGGTATAGCAAACTGTAAGTTGTGGGTGGTGAAAAGAGAGATGGGGGCAAATCATTGAGCATGGCACACACCTGCCGGTGGGTTTTCCTCTTGGGTTCTCTCCCTCCATCATTTCAGGTGTTCAGCAAGTGCACGTGGTCAGCTGTATTTCTCTCCGGGCAGGCTCCTAGGCAATCCAGC